TCGGAGACTTTTTTCAAAATTTGTTTTCAATTTATTTATTCCTTCCTTCGTGGAAGCACAAAGATTTAATTGAAGTCTAATATTCTGTTTATTGTATTTTTTCAATCTGTATTTCGTATTTCGGGACCCACTTAAAAAAAACTACACTTAAATGTAATCTGCAGTTTTCAAGGGTTTTGAGGAGTATGTACCTAATTTTTTGAAAACGAAACTTAAACCGCAGGCCTTAAATTACTTTAACACAATTAGAATCATTCATACAGTGACTCAAGCAAGTGACCACGTGTTAATTTATTTTAAATATTAGCAATGTTTTTCAAGCAATTTTTTTTGTTTTTTCTATACATATATTATGTAAGCTTTAATCAAAACGTCATAAATCAAAGTTTCATTATATGTAAATTCCACAAATTTTCATAAAATTTCAAATTTATTAATCTGAATCTTTAAAACATTTTTGGGTATGCAGTTTTTAACCCATAAAATTTTAGTTTAATGCATTGCAAGTTGAAAGCAGACAAAACTCGCGTTGATTTTTAATACTTTTTTTTTACTACCGACTTTTACACTTTTTTCCATATAAGCTGACTTGCTTATGAAATAATAATCCGAATTTTCGTGAATCCTACGAAAATACTATCAGTTTACTATATACTTTATACTTCGAAGCAATTCGGGTTCATAGCTTGATAAAGCTTGTGAATATTAAAAAAAAATATTAACACGTGGTCACTTGTTTCAGTCACTGTATATGCTTTGTACGAATTCCTTAACTTTTAAGTTCAAAAAATATTAATTTCGTCTTGTTGAAAAGCTTTCGTGTGCTGCGCCCTAACTTTGTTGTTTTAAAACACTTTAAGAACATCTACTATTAGGAAGACAAATAGGAGAATTTTCAATTTTTATTTTTCAATTCTATACAAGAATGAATATAAATTCTCTTGAATTCAAATAAGTGCACAGCAGTTTAACTTTACTAAGCAGTGTCTCACTTCAATCTCTTATAAAATTACATACATCTGTGAAACTTAGCCCATCATAAGCTTGTGAATGCAGATCATTCGGTTTCTCCATATTTTTTACATTAGCAGACCTCATAATTTCCTACAAGAAAGTTAGACTACATGAAATAATTTGCACAAAATCCAATTTTGTAAATGCATATCTCTTTCATTCAAATCGCAAACGAAAAAAAAATCATTTTTAAATCGCTGCAGTAACTCATTTACATAAAAATGATTCTAATCAATTTTTAATTCCATTTTACAAAAAAAAGCACACGACTACAAGTACATTATTACATTCATTGACGTTTCGAAATTAAAAAAAACGCAAATTCGAACTCTTTCTTTCTTAGATAAATCATAAAACACTAGTGCATTCGCAAATCGCACTTGTTCGTGCAAACTTTGTTTTAGTACTACTTATTCACCGCTTTCTTCTCAGACATTACTCCGAAAGCAGTTTGCTTTACATGCATTTTAGCAAATTTGTGCCCTACCACATATCTACATATTTTTTGCACTTTCTTCCAATGAATTTTATCACTTAACTGTATTCGTCTCATTGCTGATTTGCGCTTAGTAAAACCGAACAAACAAACAAACAAAAAAAAAATTACCTAAAAAATTTGCAAATTTGCCATTCAATCAAACAAACAAAAACGAAACAACCGTGTAAATTGTGTTTCTTTCTTTCTTTCTCATTTTTTCTCTCTCTCCTTCTTTTTTATCTTAACTTATATTGGTTACGTTCACTACGCCAACAGCAATGACTTTTAATTATTAAAATGAATTAAGTCACGAAAGACGTTAATAACAAAACCCCAAAAACTAAACTGCATATAACAAAACCAGAAATAATTTAAAAACAAAAAATGTATATCAATTATCAAAATGCAACGTGAAATATCTACTTTAAAGAAAAATAAAATAAAAATAGATGTTAAATAAGTACTTAACTAGCGAGCATCAGTAAAGATTCTAAATTGACCAAACGCAAATATCACTAGAAAGAATCAAAAGAAATACGAAATTACTAACGTGATAATGGATGACATCACACATACCCACACGTAAAAATACCGGCATATTTTGAGTGCGATCCTCGTAGTTATTAAATGGAAGAATTCTTTACGTACACCAAATTAGCCCACAGATACTTCTAGTTAAATATGTACATACATACTACATTTAAAAACTATATATATGCTTAGTATGTATAAGTGTGTTAGCAATAGATAAAACAAC